TGATCTATGAAATTATAACTTGTAAGTATACATGCAATAACATGAAAATGGATTTGTGATTCTTATCTTAGATTTACCAAAAAACTATATCTTGGAGATTATCAGGAAACACGATCTAAAAACTTGTTAATAAATCTCATTTTTTACATATAAAACTTATAAACATATAAACTATAATTAACTTTAAACTATTAATAAACTTATAAACATATAAAACTATAATTGCGAATATTAATATGGAATATGGAACATTAAATGTAAACAACTTGCAACAAAGACGATGGAGTCAATAACAATATACAATTGACGACAAAACAATTACAATATTCACCGATATGCATACATCGATTACTCGATTACATACTTCAAAAATTGCTGTATCATATATCATTTTCCAAAACAATTTTTATGTTATTAAGTCAACCTACATATATTTATGAAATTGTCAAAAACATAAGCCTTGTATGATCAAATGTGCGCAATATCATACGTATAAAATAAAAATTTTGGATTTGAAATAGCTCTCACTAGCAGTGTTTCTTAATACATTTGAACGAATAATACAGCTGAATTGCACAAAGATGAAAAATGAAATGTGGTGGTGAAAAATAATCGGTGTACGTACGTTGCTCCCAATACGTATAATTCCTATCACCAGGTCGTCTAGAAATGTCAATTTGCAGAACGCTCGTCGACGCGCAAACAGAAAGATCTGCTTGACTTTATCATATCTCGTTTCCATGCGACAATAAATTTGCACCTCGTGCTAAAATCACGCGCCTATCTCTGCTTCCCTTGCTGCAAGAGAATATTAAGCGCGTTCTGCGAGCTCCTCGTTACTATCCTTTACATTCGGAGAAATATTTCGTACCGATAACGAAAATATCGTATTATTATCGTTTAAATATTTAATCGAATATTTCGTTAATAATTATTCCGCGGATTATGTTTTACAAATATTCAACGGAAATTAATAAATATAAATTGATTCCGTTTGTTAAAGCATATGAAATTAATGAGAAACTTCTGATGCATTATTATCGTAATCCGTATTTTAAGTTTTCTTCAACTACTCATTGATAACGTGAACATTTTCTTAGGTTTCTAGATTGCTCGATGCATAAAATCAAACTTTTTCCCTAATTACTTACATTTTTCTTTGTTTAAGAACATTGCTTGTGACATACGTATGTATTCGATGATATTATCCCAAGTTTTCGTTGTTGTCAACAATATAAGATCACGATTGCTTTGAGAAATCCAACCGTCGACATAGTAACTGTACACACCTCCAATAATTACAAAAAACAATTAAAACTACGATTACATGTACACGCAATTATTTAAAGTTTCCTGTTCTCCCAGCATCTTTCGTTTCTAAATAAAATAAAACAACGCGATTCAATATTCGCAAGTACGCAGCGTACTCGAACAGTGCGCTTGTAATAAATCTTTGGTAGAATGATTAAGTTGTTTATGCACGCATCGGTAACGAAAATGATAATTAAACCGTGACAGTATAGCGACGGCGCCTTCGTACGTTCGCGTATCCAATTATACGGGGAAAATGTTGCGGTACGTTAAATTGATTTTGATTTCCTTTGTATTTAGTTTCCACGCGGGTAATAGGCCAAATCTTCTAAATAAATATTCTATCTACGTAGAAAGTAACGAGGAGAAATTAGCAAGAGTTAAACTCCAATTTGTCGCTTTCTATCTCATTGAGGAGCAATTCGCGTTCTTTCGACGCCATTGAATGCGTAACAAGCCACTTTGGTTGTTCGAGATTCGGAGATACGAGCTACCTAGATCCGTGAGATAAAAACTTTCTTGCCACACTTGTCGACGCCATGCGCACGCCGAGACGAGACGATTCGATTCGGTCCATTCGCCTATAAATGGTACGTTACACGGCGGCACCATTCGCTTTTATCAGCTGTTCTAAATTACGCCAGTGTCAATATTAACCATCAAACTAGTTTCTTAACCGCTACGAAAACGGCGCAGCTTCTTGCACTTATCAACAGCTTTTCATGTTCATGCAGAGCTTTTCACAGTTTTCCTATTTCTCTGAAAATGGATAACTGATTCACACGCCTTTGTGTTACCCTTAAACCGAACTAGAGAACGTTAGACGTTATCCTCGTTATACGATAATTAATTGCACACCATCTAAGCTCCTCTATTCGGGGTTTACGCTTGTGGAAAGATCATTACTTCTAAGATGAAATGTGTAGAAGAGGATAATTTTTTCATTCTCAATCAGCGCTACCTAATTACTTAAATTGTACATGATGAACTTCGTAATTGAATTCACGTAATTGCCGGCGTGCATGCTTCTTTTTATACCAAATATCATTCGTTCAAAACATTTCTTATACAACATGTAATCTACAAGAAAAATTAAGGTATAAGAGTTGAATGTGACTCATTCAGGATACCTTGTAAAAGTTCTCCACGGTCGAAGAAAGAAGAGTGCGAGGGTTCAGTCGATGCTTGTTGTTCTAGCTGAAATTTCTTCCGTCGCAATCTTCGTTAATTTTTCACAAGCACACCACCGTTCGGTAGCATTTTTAATTAACATTCTCCTTACCTCTGTAACGATACTTCACCGGTCTACACAAAAATGGTTGTGCGACTTTATCATCGATCGAATAGCGTTGTCAGAGTTCCAGTAGTCACTCCACCACAATGTTCGAATCACGAAATCCGTTCAGCCGTTGGAAGGGACGTATCTTAGGGGGTCGATCACAAGGTCTGCGAGCCCTGGATTATTCACGGACAAAAGGGAGAGAGAAGGGAGGCTAAAGTTGGCGGGAGTACAAGCTTGCCAAGTGAAAATCATTTGTGTGCGAATCACGGCGTGGCTGTGCGACGCGCAATGGGTTCGTGCATTCTGAATTTTCGAATCTTGCTTCAAAGGTATCCCAGACGTTGGAGAGCAGGTCCCACGACGGCAGAGTAGGGGCTGCTGTCGGCTCTAGGATGACACGGGGTGAAAAATGGTGGCGCGTTCATTTGAATGCGAGCAACAGTTCCGGGACATCTCGCAAGAGGTATCATCGGGGCCAACGACCTCGGCTCACGAGATGATCTCACGTGCTCGAAGGATGACCACCGCGAGAACGTATATAGTTTCTTTGGTGGAAGAAGGAATTCGCGGAAATGAAGGCGCAAAGCTCGCCAGTAATATATTACGGAAGTTATTATCCCCGTGAGATTTTGTTGGGACCCAGTCCATCGCGTCGCACCGTGCCCTCCAGACACGCGGTTAGGTGCTTAAGATAAAATTGCGGGGTTAGAACGCGTAGCGGTCGCTGGGATCCACGTCTGCAACAAACTATGCCACGAACCACCGTCTTCTTTCCTATCCTTTCTTGTTACTTTGCATTCTTACGCCAATACTTGCAACGCCCGTGATTTCATATCGAAAAATCAAAAACTCGCCCGCGGTTAAAGAGTTGATGATGTTTGGTGCGTTACATCGATCGCACAAAGTTCCTGTTTCTCTGTTTTCCCTGAATGGGTTAGGTTCGCCTGGTTTATTCTGTAATTGTACCAATTGTTGCTCAAATGGTGCGGTTTGTGTTTTCAAGAAATTATTGCCATTTTTTTCAAATTTTTTGACAGATGCATTTTTTAATCAACTTTGAAATCAGCGTTTCAGAATCTACGAGAAACGATGTATAACATGTCGTAAAAAGATCCCACTGTACATGGTATTGAATAAATCACAATGTTATGGGAATATTTCAAGTTTAACATCAATTTTGAAGGTTAAAAAATGGTCATACTACATCCTTTAACGTAAAAATCATTTTGATACAATTGCGTCACTTTGCCATACTCGTATGCCGCAAAGGATATTTATGGTCACAAACAATAGAGAACCAGCTACATACAATTAGGTATCCTTCGTAATTAATTAGTTTCTAATTGAATTTATGATAATTTTCTAAATACAAACATAGAAATATTATGTGAATCTGTATCTACTTCGCGCAAGATTTCCAAATCTTTGTAATTTGATATAACAACCATATTAATAAAAATGATGTTACTTAAATAATTATATGTATTACTAAATGCATTGTAATGAATCACAAAAGTCAGAAGTATTACTTAAAATTGAGATAACTAAAGATTTTGCAAATTAGCTGTAAAAAATAACAATGTCACCGATCGTACGAAGCACAATTTTTATTATAATTAAATAAAAATATTAATACTTAATTATTTTATTTAATTTCCTTTAGTTTTATTTTTTTTTATAATGTTTTTTATTTTGTTTAGTTATTCTGATAACGATGTGTTTGTGCAGCGTAACTCATTTTCAAAGAAAACTGGGCTTACACTGATTAGCTTTTGAATTGTCCATACGTAGAGTTGTCTTGTAACCTCGAAGGTTGGTAGTCCTAGCCAAAAATATACTGAATAAATTACTACAAAACTTCATTTTTGAATCTGATTGAACAACATTTAAAAACTGTCGCAGAGATCTCTTAAATGAAAAGAGTGTCCACAGTTAAAGTATTAAAAGGATCAAGTTGATCTTGATATTTTAAACTCACTCTCTGAGAAATTCCAATATTCGAATGTTCTTTAGTTCGTAGTTTCACAATTGACTACGACAAGTAATGCTACAGTAGTATTAGAAGTTACGTGTACTAACAACTTTATGCAATTTAGCATTTTTAGCAGAAGGTAGAACTGTTATTTAAATGTAAATAATTTGGTGTCAGACAAGTGACTGTTCAATTATTCTGTGTAATAACATAATCTATACCAGGCATATGCAATAAAGCGCTCTCTGCCCTGTAAGTAATCTGAATTTACTCCAGGAGCAACGCTTCAGGGCAAATGATGCCAGAGATAAAGATATAAGACTACCGATAGAGAGAGAAGACTCTATTTTGTCCTCCTGGTACGGTTATGTAAGTTGGGGTGATTTCATCGCTCCTAATTTCGATGGAGTTAATAATTAATATCTCATATGGCAATTTTTTTCTGATTTCTTTTTATCTGTACGAGCAACATTTAACACGAGTTAATTACTATTTCATGTAACGTGAGGAATCACTTCCGTAAATGGGACACTTTTATTCAAGACGGGATAATGAAACAACTAAACGATCTATCTAATGTTAGAGTTACTATGATAATGTGGGAATGTGTTCTAACGTACATAATATTTAATTGTATTAACGTGATAAATCGACCAAGATATAATAAATTGAGCATTGTAATGAATGCTTGAAATGTATCCGAGCGGGAACCTCGGTCTTCATCTCATTCTGCAATTTGTATTCCTGACATCTAATTCTAGTTTAAAACATTTGAAAGATCAGTTCTTCTAATATACGAACGCATAGCGCCAATATATCTTCCTCTTGTGGATCCCGACGGTAAAACAAACGTCGGCTCGTCCACAAGCAACCTTCCTGTGGGTCTCGATGGTGAAACAAACTCTGGCTCGACGCCACACCTTTCTCACCATTGTGGGTCCTGACGGTGAAACAACTGTCGGCTCATCTGCAAGTTATAGTATCTTTGATTAATATTTGGACACCTGATAAAACGCAATAACTTTTCTAGGACTGGATCAACTGGATTAACGACTTGAATTTTTTATGTATAACGTCTTTTATTTTCTTTTATCATTTTAAGAAATAGCGAAATTTTAAAAAAAGAGCATCCTAGTTATGGTCTAATAGACTGGTCCCTTTATTATCTAAAAAACATTCGAGTCGTTTAGTCTAGTATTCTAAACAAAATTATTGCATTTCAAATAATTTTAAAATAAAGTAACATATTATTGAAAATAATATACCACATAACGTTATTTCAAAAGTGATCATAGGCATGTAAATAATTATGAAGTAAAATGACATGTTATTCGAAATAATATTTCAAATAATATTATTTCAAATTTATCATACACATTGATAAATCTTAATCTACTACAGAAAATGTAATAAAAAAATGTCCGTATTTTAACACTTTTACCTTATTATTCGTTTGGATAAAAAATCTCTTGAATATACCAAAGAAAAGAAGATTAAATATGTCTTCATTTGGACACTTTTATCTTGTTATTCATTTGGATGCTGTACTCTATGTATTTGATTTATGAGTGTATTTCCATATCTTGATGGCTTTTTTTTATCTTGTTATGCACAGTTTTACTTATTGTTAGCTTCCACAGTGAGTAATATATGTACGCAAGATACAGTTTATAACGGAAGTGTTCAATCAGTATGATGCACAAAATCTTTATATGTATGTATGCGTATAGGATGGCACATGTATGTATGAATCGTATAAAAATTGAAGTGCCTTGTGAAGTTGAGTGGGTTCATTTTTATTCATATTTATTATTCAAAATGTAAAATCAGAGCTTTATGGAATATTAATATAATGTTTAATTGAAAAATTAAATATAACAACACAGTTATTACAAACTTTTAACATTCAACTAAAACGCGCGGATCTCTGTTTGTAATATTCCCGTTTTTAACAGTTAACAAATTCACCGTTCCGCTTCTATCGTTCAAATTCAACTACTGAACAAAACCACATACATACAAAGAATCGTCGTTCAGGGCGATCCTGTTCTTCAGTTGCTGAAAACCAGTGAGGTGTCAATCAGTTGAAGATCCCTCATCCCACAGTATTTTCATTGTTTTTTACATGTAGTCAATAATAGTTTCCATTTTCGACAAAGTCTCGCTCATAATTCATTCTACCTCAAGTCAGTTATAGTAGATTTCTTATCACGGATTCAGATCAGCGCAAAATAATCTTTAAAGTGTTGTTTTCTTTGTCTTGGCATAATTGCCTAGTAGTTTCCCGTTCAAATAAATAAAATGTCGTCCAGATATTTTAGTGGAATTAGTCGAATTTCATAATTGAATGTCGCTGCTGGAAATGTTTCCCTTGAAAAGTTCAGCGATTTTACGAGCTCATTAGGGGACTACGTTCGTCGATAATGCTTGAGTAAATACAGTTGGTTCTTAACGACCTTGGAGCTCGGATTCCTTCGGGCGTCAACGTTTTTACTCTTCCCCCAACGATTGCAATATTTCATATCGTAAAAACATAAATTTTCTTCTATTCATTCTAAGCGCCTCTTGTAGTTACATATTTAAACTTCGTTATATTCGAACCGCGAGTTAACATTATCGATTAAATTGCAGTTAACTTCTATCCTTGTTCACACAGCTGATAATTGTAAAATCTATCCTTATTGAGACATTTTCTATAAAAATTACAGAGGTATCTGTACTTGTTAAGATTCCTCGCGATTTTTACTATTAACAATTTCGCATTGAAATGCTTCTATGACATGCACATAAGTTTGTAAAGTAAATGTCTGTTATAGGCTCGAATAAAAAAAATTAAGAAACGAGATTTTTTTTACTTTTTCTGTCATTCCAAGTAAGAGCAAAATTAAGAAAAAGCATTTCAGTTATTATCTAATGACTTAATCCCACCATCATCTTAAAATAATTCAAGTCATTTAGTTCAGCTTTAAAAAGTTATTGCGTTTTAAAAGGTGTTCGAACACTTTCGCGAGCCTCTGTATATTTGCTTGCAAGAACACGATATCAGACTCTACTAAGCAAACCGTAAAAGAACAATTCGCTCGATTTGCACGCCAACGCGTATCTCTGTTTTATCACCTTAAGTGTCATATTTCATTTCTGTAGGAATTTGCGTAACAGTGATACCTCTCGACCTAAAACGATAATCTGAAAATGAACGGTTTTCGCACCGTACTTGCTTCGAGTTTCAACCAATTTGAAACTTGCGAACAGAGAGAGATTTCAGTTAGAACAATTATTCAATTTGATTGCTGTTGTTGTTTCAATAATTTACAAATAGTATTTTAATTTTAACGTTTCTAGTCAATAATAGTTGAATTTTTATCTCTTTCAGTCAGATTCGAAATTTTTGAGTAAAAACTGCAATAGTAATTTTTCCTTTGATCAAGCTTTAACGTTACTGTCGCAACAAAATGTAAACGTAAACTTTTCAATATCGCTGCTTTCGCTTTCAATTGCTGAAAATGAATCGATAACGAATAATTCGAAATATCATTTTGTTTCGTTGCCAAGTTATCTTATATCACTGTAAACATTTTTTAAAAATAACTAACAGATTACATCGCAATAATTTTACTTAAAATTCAAGATTAATAGGCCACTACTGGTCGCACCATCAATATAGGTACTTGCAAATATATTGAAGACAACGCGTATGCTTCTTTAAGAAACTATAACGTCGTGTCGACTTTGCCGAAGATTTAATGAACGTCTCATTTCATTTGTAATTAAATATCTTTCAAGTTTAGAAAATAACAGCTTATAATTTATAATCATTGACTTGTCCGCATCAACTACTTGAATATTTTCTACAGCATTTTTTGTTTTGTCTATCCAGTTCTGAAGTATACACTGTACAATAAATTCTCCCAAATTATCCTGTAGCTTGTAAACGAAAAATGACAATTTGCGAAGAGGAGATACGTACAATTGGGGAGAATTTACTGCATCTTATTTTCTTTTCTTCAACTCTATTCGAGTGAACTCTCTATCATGTGACAGATAAGAATGTCCCTTGCTTTGATACATACAACGCATACATACACTTACCGACAAAAGTTCAAAAACATATGTCACACGGATGCATATTCTTGGATGCGGTAAATCTTCTTAACATAGGATAAAAATTTTCATTCTGTTAACGAATTTTATAATTTTTGAATATTTTATCACATAGTTGTTTTATTACATGTTTCTATGAAAACTCTGGTCACCACAAACACCAGATATTAAACCAATTGCGAATCCTTGAAACATTTCAGACGAGCATGTTCTTTCCAAGCTCGAGCTAACAAATAAACGTCTTGGAAAGCTTTTTAAAAAAGTGATATTCTTTCCCAGTAAATACGTTAGACAATTTAGTCAGTAGTATATCAAGGAGACTAGAAGTTGTGATAGATGGTAAAGAAGGGCACACGAAATACAGTAAATTCTCACCAATTGTTCCTCCGTGTGTAAGAATTTCGGAAGAAGAGATACGATTATTCAAGCTTCGCGGCTCGTTTTTATAGTCGTTGATAAGCGGCGACTATAAAAACGCACTGCGAAGCTCGAATAATCATATCTCCTCTTCCTAAGTCGTCCATTTTTGTTTACAAGTTGAAGAACAATTGGAGAGAATTTACTTAGTAGTGGGAATACATAGTACGCGTCTGAATATAAGAAATATAATCATAATACTTTTGTGTCCATATAGATTTATCATTTGCTTTATCGTTTTAAAGTCTAAAGAAAGCAATCGCGTTTTCATTCCTCTGTGTGTAATTCCATTGTTCTTACTACTTCATATGGCGTACATAATGTATAAAAATTTGATTACCGTTCTGAAATATAATTCCTTCTTGTAAAATTATGATGTTTTCGCATACTTAATTTTCGCATACTTTTACATAAAATTATGATGTTTTCGATCTTTTGTCCGCCACTGTATATTCATTAAAATATCAAATTTTACTCAAATGTTAACAATACGAAATGTTTCGTGGCTTTTGTCGGTAACCGTATTAATTCCTCCAAATTTCTTCGACTTTGAATTCACGTCGGGAGTGTCGAGACTGTATCGAAACGATCGTACGATCTACATGTTACACGCACCCGCACTCAACACTGCAATGTCATCATCAAGAATAAATCACGAGATGGAGAAACGACTTGCTGTCTCGCCGCTGCATACTACATACTACATGCTTAACAATGTATTTAACCGTGACATCGAGAAACCATGTTAAGATAGTCGGACCTGTTCCGTATCGTACAGTAAATTCCATCGTGCCGTTCATTATGCCTCATTAATTGCTACAAGCGAACGTAAAAGTGAACGTCGTGCATACATATACAGTCTGACGATCGTCTAACCCTAACCGTTCGGTTCGTTCACGACTCACGATCTTGCCTGCGGGAATCGTCTTTCGGACAATTACAGTCCTGTTGGGTTTGATAAAAGCGTTGGAACGATATCTGCAAAAGTAATAACTGTTTCTCGAAAATTCAAATTCTGTTTCTTTTTTAAGTATGCACGTGACATTACATTACAATTACTTTTTTTTCTTATTGTATGCTACGTAACCCTGTACAGGATTATTAGTAATGCACCTAAGTTCTTGATACGTTTAAAATATATAGTTGCGCACAAAAGTGTTCATATACGTCGACCGGGAATCTGTAAGTATAAATAAACATGTTCACTATCGCGCAAAACTCCATTATGAAATTTGTAATACTTATTTACGAACCTATTTTTTAAACTGTCATTGTAATAAATGTTCGAAATTGTGCTAGTACATATTGATATATTTTTGAAACGTAGAATGGGGAACTGTCTGGCCCTTTCAAATGTTATGAGGTTAATTAATGAAAGCGATGAATCGTTTTTTGAGAGAATATTATTTACCGACGGCGCATCTTTCATCAATCATTGTCAATTAAACTTGAGAAACATGCATTATTGATCGTTGGAAAATCCACGGTGGTTAACGCAAGTGGATAGGCAAAGACCTTGGGTCGTAAATGTCTGGTACGGTATCGTGAGTAATCAAATAATTGGTCCTTATTTTATAAATGATACATTAAATGGACAAAAGTATGTAACATTCCTGCAAGATGAGCTACAGGTGCTTTTAAATTATGTACCATTAGACATTCGTGGAAGAATGTGGTATCAGCGCGATAGTTGTCCAGCCCATTCTACACGTCTATTTCAGATGCAAAATTTTCAAATTGTTAAATTGGACGTACTGGGCATGCAGCGTGACCATCGCGGTCACCAGATCTCACGTCTATGGATTATTTCTTATGATGACATTTAAAAGAAGTTGTTTATTATGAACAACCAACAACAAAAGAAAACATGAAAGACAGAATAATAAGAACTTGTGCTACAACTAACCCCATAACACTTGAAAGGACCAGAGAGTCTTTTATCTTACGTTTAAAAAAATATATCGATGCGTAGGGGCATTATTTCGAATATCTATTACACAATGACAATTTAAAAAATAGGTTCGTAAAAGAGTATACTCTTATGTAACAATCGACTGTAAAAAAAATGTTTATTCGAATAGGGATTTTTTAAAGCAAGAACATATTGTTCCATATTGTGTATCTAAATTTTTGTTTCATTGTCCCGATTTATGGAACAGTTGGCATCCGTGTTTCATGTGCAGTGTCCTCATTTCGAACGTGCATTACAAATGGTACTTTACTATTTTACTATTTTATCACATTAAATAAATCTTTCATAGTTCATTACGTTATCTGGAAACATCAACTTATCGAACAGTATAGTATAGATATTCAACAAAAATACTTTTAAGTTCTATTAAAATTGATGATAATTCGAGCCCTTGATAAGCTTTCCATAATAGATACTTTTACCGTACGTAGGCGAAGAAATCGTTCCAACACTCTCATCGAACGGACTGTATTTCCAGCAAGCACTTTCCTTCTCGTGCCGCGTGAGCGCGTGAATCATGGCCGATCGGAAATGGTGCGACCGTGGCTGGTTTGATAAATAAGTAGCCCTACTGTGATGACGGTAACGATGACGATGGCGCAGGACAGTCGCCAAAAATTTCGCCTATGCGTTCGAAGCACCGCGCGTCGTTCATTAAATACCTACGCCCGTTCCTGTTTGCTCGCTTCTCCGAAGAACGTTACATCGTGTAGCCCAGTCTTTCCTCGACGCTGCTCGAATCCGCGCGAAAATCGAAAATTGAGAGCTTTTGCCGCGATGACGACAACGCGATCGATCGATTTCGCTGTGACTCCAGAGTCCAATCTACGCGTACTATACGCGTTCACCGCGTACTCTAATCGCATACATCATCGAACGTGGAAAATCAAACGGGAATGGATATAATACGATACTTTTGCACGGTCCCGTGCATCCGTAAGTGTGCGAAACGTTTTCTATGCTCTCGTATTTGCAACTTTTAATTGGATCGAAGACCTTGTGACTTGTTCCTGAGAAAATGATATACGCCGCGGCGCGTGGATTGTTAGAGAAATATGTATTCGGTCAGGCATAATCACGGAATAACGGTGAAATTTCAGAAAGTATTTTAATTACGTTAGTCAATAGTGGAAGAAAGTGCGTGGAAAGTTTCGTGGAAAAGGTGATAAACTAATTCGCTCGAAAATATAATTTACATAATCCCCTAGGAAGACCAACGATGATACGTGCATACAAAGGTTATCGTGTTCGCTCGTTTCAATTATCTGGGTCGGTTTGTTTGATCGAATACATTGCACCGAAGACTATTTTCTTGTAAGATTGTTCTATCGTAAATTCATTCAAAGCTTTCAGAGCGTGAAACATTTGTCATTGTCTTGTTTCACGGCACCTAGAAGAATCAATTAGTCGACAGCAGTTTTATCGAGAACATGATCGAGTATTATTTCAGTTATTATTTCAAAATTATAGAAACTGCACCAGCAGAATATACTTGGTCGAAAAATACACTTTTTCCATCTTAAGTAGGTATGTATATGTTTTACAAAATTTAACATGGAATTGCTTAAATGATATCTTAACGTGATGAATAAAATGTCGATATTTAAAAGATATATTAAATTCAATTACTGTTTGAAGAGTCAACTTGGTTCGTAGTTAAACCTTAACGATTATGCTATTAACATCATTAGCGTTCGTATATTTAACGCACGCAAAACTTATCATTCCATCGCGGTATTATTGCTCCATTTTTCTTATCCTGCACGCGCTCAGACAAGATATAGAAAACAGATTATGCAATTGCTGGCATGAAAATAAAATACCAACAAATATAAAAGTGATATTATAAAGTAATTTTATAATACAATATCTCACACACACACACACACACACACACGAAATTGACTATATGCCAATGGTATTATACATTGTTCAAACGATCACCTGATATTTACAACGTAATCCATGTAATGAAGACTACTAACAAATTGATAGCATAAAAACTCATCAGTTTCTCCCCCCCCCCTCTCTCTCTCTTTCTTGCTCCCTTGAAGACATATTCTCAATCGATGCATACGTCATCGTCAGTGGAATACGATTGATCAAACGGTAATTTTCTTGGACGGGACGAAGGCGATCGAAGGATCGCTCCGAGAAGATCACGTATAAGCTACTCGCGTAGGTACCACGTATCCGTTGAGTCATTGGGTATTCATTGAGTATCACGAAGGCCGATAATGATAATCCGTTGGAAGAATGCTGCGGTCTCGCGGCCACAGTTATGCGGAGCAACTGGCCGCATGTCAATTTGTTCTCTGTTGGTCACCCGTTACTGTCGGTGTCGGTGATACTTGGGACTGGGCACATAAGATGATCGCGGAAGCGATGCACTCGTGGAAAGTATACGATATCATCGCATAAACGAGCGAATTTTATTACATCTCGCCAGCCTGGGGCGTCGCGCATCGCCTCGACAGAAAATTATAACTAATCCGACAATGATTACAACTATTACGATAATAAATTCCCTTTCCCGCTCATTAATAATCCTCCCATTAATTATAATATAAGCTACCGTTGAATTGGACATCAGTTGGAAAGGTATTCTTTCTATATGAAACTGAATACTTAAATACCAAAATCTTTTTATCGCAGCCAATGTAGCATATGCAAACTTCTAAGCTGCATGAAAACGCATGAAATCATAAGAACTAATTGCGCATTAACGAAGGAAATCTCTAAGATTGAATTCTTCAAATAGTTTTCTCCATGTTTTTCTACTAGAAAAAGAATGTGTTATTTAAAATAATATTTCAATTATTTGATATCAGATTTTTAGACATTAAAATTTGATTCGTCACAAAAATTATATAGCCAACTTTTGATAAAGTGATTTTAATTTGAGCATTATCCTCGTGTCAAAAATATACGTATTTTGTTATTTACTGTTACTTCGATGTGTTTACAAAAAACGTGATGTTGCCGCACTTGATTCAAAACGGAACAGATTATTGGAAACAAATCACGGCATCGCGTTCTTATTGTAGAGCGAAATTCCCACTGAAATGGAAGTAAATATTTACTCGAACGGAGGGTTCATATTTATCAAGACTCTATTGAAGAATGATTTAATGCAGACGAGTGAAACTTCTATGAGAATCCGTTGGAATTCAGTGACTTTACAAATCACTCTTCAAAAAAAAAAGTGAGGAATCAGTCTCCCAGATTTAGAGAGTAGAATCCTATACTCTATAAATAGTTCGCATAATACGGGTCCGTACAACACGACGCAAAAGTTGCGGCTACGTATAACAAGGAAGAAAGAACTTGTACAACACGGTATGTACGCGGCGCTTATACCTACAGGTTTATATTATCTCAGCGCAGAGTTGGATAAAACGTAATCTGATTAATGATTATGATCGCTAAGTAGTCAAGTAATCATGATCAATGAATAACTTAAGTAATCGAAGCAAATATAATCGTTGGTCATGATTAATACGGTAATCATTAATCATGTAACAATTACTTTTTCTGATTACGAGTAGCTAAAAAATTTGGTATTATGGTAATTACTAATAATTCTGAATAGTTCAGTTGGGCCTCTTATCCTTATTCCAGTAACGCTTAATTGATTAATGATTATGATTACCACACACGATTACTTTTCGAAATCAATTACAAAATTAATCATAAAATAGTCGATTACTGCCCAACTCTGTCTCAGCGTAGCGAAAGAATATCACACGAGAATAGTAGAGAACGCAGAATAAAAAGTATATTAAACACATCAGAAGTAAAAGCATAATTAGGATATTTGAATATTAAATAGTTGTTTTATATTTTTTGTAATGAATCGTCACAGCTTTTGTAAGTATATACATATTTTCAAATATGTATGTAAACTATGTTTGGATAACTTATGCGATAACATGTGTAATATGAATTAGTATGACGTGGAGCGTGTAGCTGCTGTTAATCAAATGGCGGTAGATCTTCTATAATAATCGATAAAAACAAATATATTCTTTCGCTGAATTTCGTCTTATTTAGTTTGGGCATTAACGATGAGTAAGATTTTAGTAAATTAAATGATGTTCAGTAATACTTCACGGACATGGTTTAATTTCACTAAGATTGCCAAAATCATCGAAACGACGGATTTCAGACTTTTATTGTATCATTATTAAGATTGTAAACATGCTTTTGAAGACATTACTGAGTTATTACTTGAGTTAAGGTCTGAGAACAGAACTAAGCAAACACATTTTCATTATTTTTATTAGAATTTATTTTTTTATGAGAATTTAAGTTGATTACGTTTGGTGTCTGAAAGATTTAGTAACGATTACCGTTAAATCCTTCGTGAAACATGTGTCACACTACACGCTTACTACGTGTACAGCGTGTTAGGAAATTACATGTTATAAAAAAATTGATCTCGAGCATGATTTTCAAGGTCAAATTTTCTTATCATTGCAGTCGTATAGTACTCGTCAGGAGGAATAATAGTCTCGAAGGAACCATGTGTCAAAATATCTCATAAAAAATAATGGTAAAGTCACATTAATATTACACGTTTGGTGTCGTGTCGCGCGCGGGCCCCTAGTCCCTGCCGCCTGGCCTCAGATTTTCTGTTTTCACCAGGCCGGGCTGCGGCACTGTTGAGCTTTGACCCGTGAAACTATTGTTTCTCCTAGCGAATACTATACGATGTAATAGTAAAAGAAATTTAATCTTGAAAATCATGCTCAAAGCCAATTTTGCAACAACTTGATAAAATCTCCATCGATTCGAAGTTGTAGGATTACGCTGTAACGGTCGTTACATATAATTTCCTGACACACCCTGTGCATGTGTTCGACTTTCCGTTCCATACTTAAACGTCGATTCAGATTATCAATTCTACTACACTCGCTGTCAGTGTACCAACAGTCACGGGTTCAAAATGTGCTCGTATTCGTACGATACTTGGCAGAAATACTCGAATATCGCGGAAGCAACGAATTGAGGTGAAGTGTACGATCATGCATCGTAACTTTGGCTTCTTGTCAAAATCCTTATTTTGTTGCATGCGAAAATAAATGCGACGGTGTAATAACAAAAAATTCAGTAATATGTAAAACGAAGAAGAATGTACACAATATGTATACGATACCAATATTTATCAATATTTGTATCAATATTTATTGTCATTTTTATCTCGTTAATTATTAGGTGTAGGACGTACGAAGGTCAATGTAGTTTTATTCAGAATTTGACACTCTATCGATCTGTGGCACGCAAGTTTAATATGGGGAAAGAATGGAAAAAGAAAATTGTCCCTTCGTGCAAGAAAACATATTGTTACAACTTCAACTAATACTTTGAAAAACTGTTAATGAATTGTCATTGAATGCAAGCTTGACGCCTTTCGCTGGACTGTTCGACACGTTCTCAATCGCAATCTGAATACTAAAAGAGAAATGTAGATGCTGCACCTACACTTTTCGATCGTCATAATGCAACCAGACTAGACTGTGCTCATTATAACGTCAAATGATATCGTATTCAATGTTGTCCATTTAATATTGTTTCGTGGAGTATACAAATTTCTATAGATTTTGTTACAACTTAAAGGTGTTATTGTTGAATATTTGTAGTATTGTTCGATAGGTTGATGTTTCCAGATAACGTAATGAATTTTTAAATATTTTTTTAATATGAATAAAATAGTAAAGGACGGTTCCCAGTGTTTCATCTTAAATGTCTTAATTTTGAAATGCCTGTTTCGAAATAGGGACATTGAACATGAAACACGGATGCCAGCTGTTCCATAAATAGGACAGCGAATAAATCGAAGCACATAATTTGGAACAGTATGTTTTTGCTTAGAAACATCCGTATTCGAATAAATATTTTTGTTTACAGCCAATTGTTACGTAACAGTACTTGTGTGGGTGCAGATATAAAGAACAATGTTCAAAAATATAAGTAGAATTTTTACAAGAATGGGTCACAATTGAGCATTGTTTCATAATAGGCACTTCTACCTTATTTCGTTCTTACCGTATAAAATTCACCCGTACTTCATTTGGAAGTCAGTATACGTTATACAAATCTTCGAAACTCTTGAAAATTGTAGTAGTGCTATAGTTATACTTCGGAGTGTAAGCTCGAGTCAATAGTAGGTGATCTGAGAAAATTCTTCGAATGTAGAAGGACGAGATATTTCCGTAAATGTTCTTATATTAATACTGCGGTAAGCTTCCTCCTTGGGAGTATTTCACGAATGTTTCCATTTCAATCTGTTTCGTCCGCATTCGTCGCGACCCGAGAGTTTCAAGCATGTGGCATACGGCATACGGGATACGGGTGGTTGAAAGCGGATATTTTATACACGCGTTCGCAAGATTCTTCATCCTGCGATCGTAAAATTCGAAACTCCTGGTTCCGTCCTGCCATGGACCGAGACAGCTTATTTCGTCACGAAGTAAAAGCTATAGCGTGCAAAGGTGTCACCGAGGCGGTTATGAGAACGGACAGCTTTACGACGCCGAAGCTAAAGGCAGTCCAATCTACTCAAAGGTCGTTAACACAGCCGAAACGGCATCAGAAAGGTAGTTTTTAGGGATGTTTTGAAAACGCCCTGTAAAACTTTGACGATCGTCAAACTGATTTATAGAAACACCTTTCGAACGCGAACGCTTTGAAATTGTTGGTAGTTCACAGAACTCCAACTGAACGGTCGCTCGTTCATCGGGCGTGCAACTACCATGGAAACTCAAACAATGACTTATGTACGCAGAGCTTGATATTTTTAATTGTACTTACTTAATGAAAGCTCATTACATAACTAATGCAATATATGTAGTTCTAGTAATTTTTGATTAAAATGCAAGATTAATGTAGCAGCAATTGCAAACTAGATTCAGATAAGCGTTTAAAATGTAGATCCACCGACATGTTCATAAAAAGTGAACTGTTAAATACAGAATTCTGGGTGGAGATTTTTTAAAATTATTTGGCTTTCTGGTTATAGCGCGGTCGCTAAGGAAATCTACAAAGTAAAACAGCTTTTTATCTCTTTCCCAAATGAAATACAGCGCAGTACGGTACCAGTTGTAAACTGTTCCACGGATTACCAAGGATTACCAAAGTATTTTTCGTTGCCATTTTACGGTCTCCACTTTACACCTCTTCATAATTTCAAACTTTTCTCGTTACACTTCTGTGTTGCTTCTTTTATTACACTTTCTAACTCCATAGCTGGACTGTTTTTTCTGTCTTATGTGACGTGTATTCTAAGATTCCTCAGACGAAGAAGTTAATTCTACCTTCTTTGAAATGAACGCGAGTAAGCATACTTGATTCCTCGCATCTTCATTCGCATCAATTAATAAATTAATTCTATGGTTTCGGCGTTCACTTGCACGATATTGGAAAATAATCTTCCTCAATTTGAAAGAATATAAATGGTCGAAGTTGATTTTAATAATTCAGCAGTTAGAATAATCATAAATGTCGATGACACAGTTACGGGAATACAAAATCAAGATGTTACTTGAAAAAGTGAAATTGAAATAGTTCCTGTCATCTCTTCTTTTCTAGTGTATCTTTAACAAGAAATTATAATAGAAAATAACATTTCGCTTTTGCTTCATCCTTGTAAAATTTCCGACGTTATTTTGATACAATTTTTAACAAAACCAACTTTTTTAATCTACCTAGAATTCTGTAACCAGTTTGAAATTGTGACGCGTGTATGTACAATCGCTCCTGAAAAAGATCTCTGTATCAAATTTTGTATTTCTAAAATTATATTTTTACTTCACTTTCTAGTAGAGAAGCTTAATTCTCTATATTACTATTATTTCATACCCTATCTAAAAATAAAATATCAATAAAACATTTATCTAGAACTAGAGTGACACGTTTCTTTGCACTTTTTGTTTGTGGTTTACCATGGCCCCGGTACACCATTGCTTTTTATGAAATCAAAAATCAAAACCTGTTTATCTGAGTCGCCGCGATTATTTACTGTCATCGTAATTCAAAATTATTGAATAATCATAAAATCGCTCCAAAAAGGCGATTAGTTACAAAGAAATAAAGTATCGACAATGATCGTTGATTACCATAGAAGGAAACTTGAATACAACAATCAGGGATGGAACACTGAATGCGAGAGAACCCCGATTCACGAATTGGTCGCTCATTGCAAAATAACACTGGCCGGCTGTGTCTGGTTTGTCGACTAAACAAATTGCTCTGAAATTGATGAAGAGAATCGGCGATCAATTTGTCGCCGTTGTCGCTCTGTTTTCCGTCAGGCTTGCCAAGGAGCGCGAACACTGACGTAACTTGGTTAATTGACACAGTTTTTGATACGAGCGATACGTGTGCTCCACTGGGTCAACGTTCGTTCCTTATTAACGTCAATTAACACCAGCGTATAAACGTTTACTAATGACGTCAGTGTTTTTGCACGCGGAACGATTCGTAATCGTCGAGCGGGCTGGTCTGTTTACACGAAGCGTCCGGAGCTGCGATAACTGACCAACTCCAAAATTGATCTCTCTGACTCATTTCTAAGCAGCCCGCGCCACAGAACTTATTCTAATCTCAACCGTCGCATTCTTACATGTCAACCTCTACCCCTTGCTATTAGCTCTTATCTTAACCGTAGAATTTCCATGAGGCGTGGCATTGTCGAACCCATGTGATTCGAACAATAATTAGTTAAACCGGTTTCCTTTCTGGAAGCAATTTTCAAACAATTATTTATCGTTGAACGCTGAAATTCAGCATTTCAATATTCTTTTTATTTCATGAAGGTATGGAACTCTGGACATGGAAAATCGGTTTAATATTTTATTAACGAAGTTACGGGCTCGAAGAGACCCGTTTTGTGATTTTCTTACAAGAAAGCCAAGAACTACTTTGCACTGATTTTTTGCACCTGCTTTTGGGTGAAAAGATGACTCGAGATCAGGGTTTTAATGAAACTGTTAAAATTTATCCGTTTATTTATTTATAAATAAACACTTGTCGCTTAACGTCAGTCTATAAATTATTATTGTAATCCATATTGTATGTAAAAACTATCAAAATGTATTGTACTATTAACATACAATCGATCCATCGATTTCTCATCCGGGTTCCAAACAGCTTCGTGGTATTTTTCATTAATTTTTTGTCGGTCAGCCTCGTAGTAGCAGGTGACGTTATCGACAATTAATTATTCATGCAGCGAACGCGCAAGGATGCTTGGAAATCATTGAAATTTGCACGGCGTATGGTTCATGGAAATCGACAGTGGAAAGGAAAGCATATTTATTTTCATTCGCGGATGTTGCAAGCTACGCCGCGAAAGTGGACGTAAAAAGTGGTTATCGACCGATACTTGTAATTAAACGGATTACATACCACTGTACGCGATGCTGAACGTAATGACGCCGATATCTATGATTGATCGTGCGGAATTATTTACTCTACGAAGGAACGCTACTTAACTCAACGAAGCCACGCATTCCGATCATTAAATCATATTAATTGGGATAATTGTGGTAATCTTTGCATGGAAAAAAATTTGGGAAGTGAAAATGCTACGAACGACTACAATTTATCAAGAATATATGTATACATTTTGTAGCAGTAATTGATATGTCGTAAACAGGTACCTACACAGGCTCACGAAAGTGTTCAAACACCTTTTAAAACGCAATGAGATTTTTTTTATAGATGATAATAGAATTAATCTATTAGACGATAAGTGAAATTTATTATCTTAATCTTAATTTTCCTCTTGCTTTGAATGACAATTTTTCAACAGTTTTCAACAACAATATATCACTTCATTAAATTCGTTTTGATACGAGCTACTATAATATGAAATAAAACATATACCATGCAATAATTTTCAAAGATGAAGGTAATTTTTCGATTTTTTGGAATAACACATTTTTTTGAAACTTTCTATATTGCAATCTGTAGCTGATCAAAAATTAATTAACTTTTGTACGAAACATTTTGTTGTCAGACTATCGGAAGTCCTCGAGGAATCGTGGAAACAGTTACGTGGAACGCCTTCTATATTTTCAAAGAAAAATTTGCTTTGGGTATAAAACTGTTCCGGCCGATACGCTACAGTCGATCAATTTTTCGAAGTTTGATTCGGATCTCTTCAATTAAGTTTCGAAGCGGCGCGTCTATCCGCGCGATTGATTTATCGAATGAAGAAACGAAGATTCATTTGGATCGTGGCGCAATCCGCAATTCGCGATCCGCGGATTGCAGCGGAACGTTTTAATTGGAATGCAGGAAAATGAAATACGAGACGCAGAGAGACTATGCGAATGACATTTCCTTTCTCGTGCTGGCAGGATGCGGGTCCATACGGGCGCTCGTACGGGTTCGACGCTGCAATTAGGTCAAGGCGTTTAATTACGCGACGAAGACTCCACCGTGTTCCAAATATTGAGATCGGGAACAGCAAATCAGAGCCGGCGGAACACTTATTGTTGGTCCGACTACTCTCTCATCTCGGTTTTAAATTTCTTCTTATTTCTGTTACAGTTAGAACACCCGATACATTTTTGTAATTTCATATCTACGTGACAATTCGTCGCAATGAAATTGAAACGATAAAGAAGCAAAGAGTCGACACGGTCGCGTTTACTTCAGAAAGCGAAAAATACTGTATTGATTGACGAGTCAGTTAGATCGACCGAGTGTCTCGCTATTGGTATCGCAGGTACACTCGCGTCGGAAAGTATGTTAATACAACTTTTCATTGAAATCGGTTTTATTTGTTATGCAAATGCGTCATAAGAATTAGATTGAAGGGGATACAGAAAGAGAAACAGAAATTTAAAAAAAATAAGATTTTTTTAAAGATCAGGATTGGCACGATGATAGCGTAACCTGCTAAATTTTACGAAGTACTTAGGACGCGAATTCTACGTTGCGCGCGGTTGGTGGGGTAACAATTAAACAAGGAGTACAGTCAACGTTGTTAAACGTCGCTAAAGGAATGATGGATTTTGAAAAGGGTCAAACGATGCTTACCCGTATGAAATAAAATTTTTTCATTAATTCTACTTCAATATTAATCGCTGACCTAGCCATTTTCGACCTGCAGTAAAGCTTCGATTGTCTAAACTATTGTCAGCGACACGAATGTTCAGATATTAAAACAATTACTTATAGTTACAGTGCCAGACTTGATTGTTGTTAATTTATAATGTACGATTCTTGAAAATTTTCTGATTACCAAGGTTTGCAGGAAAGATATCGAATTTTTAGTTATCGCAATTGCATCGATACAAATTGATCGTATGTCGTGTGTACAGTTCCGAAAAATGTCGTTTTATAACTCTGGAAGTTTGCAGCATTCACACTTGAAACTCATTGCATTTTATATTACGGCTATTCGAAACTATCATTATAGCCAAAACGAATATTCGAATATTTGATAGCTTCACGGTAGCCCGATCGTTCCATGTTTCTCACGTAAGGGCCGATGCTTTCAACGAAAAGAGTTGAGGCAATTAATGGTTTCCAGGAATAACCGCGGGATCAGAAGGTTCCGACGGATCCAAATCAGACGGTTTACGCAGAAATGTAACGAACTGCATCGTTAGGGTTGATTACCGGGTAAAAAGCATCGGGAATCGTGCGAACCCGGCTGGGACACCGCGTGACAGTCCGCGAGGCGTAGACATTCGTCTGGCAAAAAGCGGGAATACGCGATGTAACAAGGCCGGAACAATATAAAGACGGAGCAAAAAAGAGTTGTCGGGTGCTGGCACTGAAAGATATGAGTTTATTTACAGAAACGGTTTTAGTACGACGACGAGAAACGCGTCAGGTACACATCGTGCACCGCGTCCGGTCCTCCGCATATAGAACATCCGCTGCAGCACAAACGCGTACACGCACACGCGCACGTCAACGAACGCGCACAGAACATGCGAGGAGATGCACTTTTATGCGCTCGGTACTCGCTCGTACGCGTTTCAGCCAGTTATGATCGCTGGAAGAATCGAGGTTAATATAAAGGCTGCTGGAAAAAAGGGTCTAACACTTCAGGGACGTGTTAAAAAGACTAAGATAAAAGCACATACTTGTTACGAGACACCGCTCAATTGGGACCCCTTCTTGAAACAGTAGCAGAAATAATATAATGAAAACTAGATAGTCCATATGAAAGTGAATGTAAAAATTCTACCCGTATTTTTGAACATTCTTCTTTATAAATTCACTTGCACAAATATTCTTATATAACAATCAACTATAAAAAAAGAATGTTTATTCGCACACGGATATTTCTAAGTAAAGTGCATACGTACTGTTCCATATTATGTACTTCAATTTGTTCACTGTCCCTATTTATGGAATAGTTGGCAGCCGCGTTTCATATTCAATGTCCCTACTTTGGAACTAGCATTTCAAACGGATGTTCCAAAATTGAGTCATTCAATATGAAACACGGGGACATGGTACGAAAATGGCGTTCCTATAATAGGTACACACCCGTAATTTACTATTTTATTCATATTATCTTTTATTTGTATTAAATAAATATTCCAAACTTCATTACGATATCTAGAAGTATCAATCTATCAAACAGTTATATAAATATTCAACAATAACACTTTTAAATTGTAAGAAAATCGATGATAATCTTTTACCCACCGAAAAACGTTGCCTAATAGGTAGATACTTTACCTTAATGCGATTTCAGCTAGTCTTTTCCAGGTATGTATATACATGCCTCGTAATTTTTCAGAGTTGGGCAGTAATCGATTATTTTGTGATTACTTCTTTAATTGATTACGATAAGTAATCATGGTAACCATAATAATTATGTTATTATAATAATAATCGTTACTAGAATAAATCAGTAATCATGATTAGATTTGATTTGTTTATTTTTCTGATCAGTTGCTTGGGACTGACGAGGGGCCCAAATAAAAGAAGTCTTCCGTTCATTCATGAAATGCATGCAGATTTTCTGCATGAGAAACTATTCAGACATATTATATCGACATATTATATATATAAAATTTTTTTTTTTAAATGAGTCAAATTGACTCAGTCCGCGCGCGCGCGGTAAAGAATTACATCGAAGTTTAATGAAAGTATATTTGATTTTTGTTTCTTTATATTCATTTTTAATAGATAATGCATACGCAGGTAAGGATGGTCATCTTGAAGAATGTTTAATAAAAAAAGACCAGAAAAAAATACAAAAGAAGCAGAAAAATAGATGAAGACTAAAAAAAACTAGATGAAACGACCAAAAAATTTTCTCATAAGATTTAAATTTAAAATTCTCATAAAAATTTCCAGACTTAAGATATCGTTCAAATGTTTGCGTCGGAGAAAAGAACATGTGTTCTAAAAGTTTTCAACCTCGATGTTACCTTACCACGTTCATTTTCGAACGAATACGATAGCCACGGCGAACACGTGCGCGGGTACCGCACCGCAGCAGTCGACTGACTCGTGGCGTGGAAGCTTCGTCAGACGTAATCGGTTCCACCGAATACGGTAACCGCTTAATAAGGATTCCTTGGACGTCGTCATTGACGAAGACCAAGTGACAAGGGTCGCTATATCGAGATATTTCACCTCGATAGCACTCTCGATTACCTTTTTAGCGATTCGAGTTCTGGAAAAGGATGCACGCTCCGTGATTTATTCGAAAACACTTTTTAATAATCGTTGCAAAACTTCTAACACCATTATACTATTCTGCCTGTATACGAGGTCTGTTCAGAAAATAATCAAACTTTATTGTAAATTTTACAGAGATTATTTTGATCCTTGTCCCTTTCAAAGTACAATGAATTCTTCCTAATTGACCCTCCGCTTGTACACGAAGATGAACAATTTGAGTAGGGGAGGTACGATTATTCGAGTCTGGCGGCTCGTTTTTATAATTACCTATTGTCAACAACTATAAAAATGAGTCGCAAGGCTCGAATGATCGTACTTCCTCTTTCAAAATTGTCCATTTTTGTTTCGAAGCTGAGAGTCGATTAGGGAAAATTTATTGTACTCTCTTCCCTTATTCGCATACTTTTTCCAGCGGTATTTCCATCTCCCGAAACAATCCTGGATAGCTTCATTCGAAGTGGTCCGTAAGGTCTGTGACGAAATTACTTTGATGTCGTCGATAGTCTGAAAACGGAGTCCTTTCAGCGCTGTCATTAATTTCGGAAATAAGAAAAAATTACGCGGAGCCAGGTCTGGCGAGTAAGGAGGGTGAGTGAGAACAGTCACCTGATTTTTCCCTAGTTTAACGCAAAATTTTACGTTGCATCGTTGCTCCAGAAAATTACACATTTCAAAAATCGCCACTAACGCTTAATCACGTTACACTCAAATAGCAATATCACAAAAATTAAACCAGATATCAACAATCCGAAAACATGCGGTTGCGGAGGATGTTATGCGCAACACAATGTTGCTAATCTAGTAGATATCTCTACTAAATAGCTTCGTTGGTGCATCATTCAAAAAGTTCAATTAGATTCTGAATAGATTTCGTGCATGGTATTTTAACGTATTAAATGCTTCAAGACTTCGTCTGCCACGTCAAAATCTCACACAAATTCGTAATTTATTTAGTTGAATTCTTTGTGTTTCGCTGAGTAGCAATCGAAGGATTTTTTTAAACATAAACACATTCCAACCTGGAAGCGTTTGTTAGAAAACTCAAAAAAGGTTATGTTAAGGTTATATCAAGTTCTAGACTGTCATTGTAAAGGCGAAGCCAGAATCTTCAAACTTAGTCATGAACGAAATTTTCCAGTGTTTTTAAACACGTTACGATCTAGCACTTTTTAAAGAAAAAGTCGTGCATTTAGTTTACCATATGCTATATTCTACAAAAACATCTTACACTGAAATGTACTATGGACAGTGTAGAGTCGAATAAGTACCGATTTATTGTACGAACTTCTTTCACGAAAATTGAAAATTTAGTGTTCAGGTATTTTTTGTTGGTGCTATCTATAAATTTATTTTTGTGTCACATATGCATGTAGAATAAAACAGTTTTTGTCGAAGGTTGGAAATCCAAGGCGTTTCGAACGATACCGATATTTTGTAGCTTTCCAAATTGCAACTAAAATTCGTTGGCGGTTTAATGAAAAAATATCGGTAAAAATTATTAGTTGTACTGAAAAGCGCATTTAACGTGAAATGTAAAATTAGGTGTTAGATCGTGGAAGATCATAAATGATAATATCAATATATGTGTTTCTTTTTATTGGATTTAAAAATCATAATCAATTTAGAAACACTCTTTTCATGAAAACGATGATTTACATTACTTTGACGAAAATTCAACTTAGACTTTTTCGTCCGTTCACCAAAAAAATGATGCTTTAGTAATATACATTTATTATTATATATAGTAAAATAAAATCATCTGTAAAAAATTAAATTGTTAGTCATTGATAACATCTGAACGGCGAAACTTCTTCACAAAAATATAACTTAGTACTCTCAAGAACATTTATAAAGTTATTTAGCAATTTTGTTCAATGTATTTTTTAAGATATGGATTAAGATGATCGTTATTTAATCCTCTGGATTAATTCCGGGAATGCGGAAATTGGGACAGCCGCGGTCCAAACGGATCCAAGTGTTAAAAGAGTAATTTTCAGAGGCATGACGAGAAAGGAAGCTGATTCGAGTATTCGACTTTCTTCTGATCCGTGAAGAAATTCGCTCGCGACAACGAAAGCGAAGCGGCAGCTCCGTTAAATGTATGTAGCAGCAGAGATGGTGACGTTATCGCATCGCGTAACACTTGTTTCAGCGAACGTTTCACGGAGCCGTTGTAAACAGGCGGTCTCCCGTCTGTTAGTCGTCGTCTGCGCGACGACCATTCCTTCGTCTCGTTCCTCGGGATCTCCTTTCGCTGGCCCAGCTTGCTCTTCACTTTTTGCCGCGTTTCCAACGTCTCCTTTTCCAGCTCTACACGCGACGATGCGACGGGTTTCGACGTCAGCCGACGCTATGCGACATGATTATAAGCACCTCCGCTGCCTACGCGTGCTCTTCATTCTCGCGCTATTGCCAATTAAATGCGGAGAGCCCGCATGAAGTTGCAGTTAGAGTCGAATCATAATTTGAAAGAAAGACAGTGAAAGCGAACAGCGCTGGTAGTATCGCGCAGCGCCCATGGCATGTGCGAGTATGTATCCCGGATGATCGCTGCCGATAAAAAGTAGGTAGATAAGCGGATACTTACTTTTAATGGTCCTTTTTAGGTTACGCAACGTGGCTTACCGAAGGTACACATCGCGACGATACTATAAGACATCGTTCACATGTATAAAGCCATACAAACCTACGGTATATGTACGATCGACCGCATGTGTTCGTCCACTTACATCGCACTCATTGTCAGTGTATGTGTAGGTAAAAGCAAGAAAATTTCCAGATGAAATTCGAAACAAAAATACAGAAACTAAGCTTCAGTTGTAGGAAATAAGACGACGTTTCGCCGAATTCCTAAGTACACGTATACAATTGTATGATTTTATAACGATTTAAAATAAAATCGGGTAGTAGAGCTGGTTTCATTATGTAATTAACTTTATATTTATCAAATGAGATATATTAAATTTTGTTGTTCCTTTGTTTTGTTTATATTTGAATAAAAAAATCTATTATGTCTTATGCGATAAATATAAAGTTAATTACGACTGACAACAAACCAAAGACGCAGAAAATGGTTTTATTATTATTTATATGTCCGTAAATTATAATTTATCGTATGGTTCTATGTAAATATGTAATATTTTGTATGTAGCATTTTCACGGCGTAGAGTGGTGAAGCTAGCAATATTATATGGCAATATTATATGACTACTTTCTACTACTCTGTAATTTATGTTTACTACCTACTGTATGTAGATGGTTAGATAGCTGACAGAAAAACACAGAGACAAAAGGGGAATTTAATTGTAGGTCTCGCTGCTAATATCTCGCTGCTGTCGTTAATATTTCAGTGAATAACGAAGATATGTATATGTCCAGTAACCAAATAGATCCACATTTCCTTGCTAACAATCAGCTATCTTTTCATCTCTGCACAGTACATTGCTCCCTGCTTATTTAATTTTACGCATTCTTCTCTGTTCTTACTCACTTTCGCGTATTCAGTTTGCTCGATCTCGGATGGTACTCGCCCTTTCAATCCCTCTCTCTTTCTTTCTCAATTTCTCTCTNCAGCTCCGTTAAATGTATGTAGCAGCAGAGATGGTGACGTTATCGCATCGCGTAACACTTGTTTCAGCGAACGTTTCACGGAGCCGTTGTAAACAGGCGGTCTCCCGTCTGTTAGTCGTCGTCTGCGCGACGACCATTCCTTCGTCTCGTTCCTCGGGATCTCCTTTCGCTGGCCCAGCTTGCTCTTCACTTTTTGCCGCGTTTCCAACGTCTCCTTTTCCAGCTCTACACGCGACGATGCGACGGGTTTCGACGTCAGCCGACGCTATGCGACATGATTATAAGCACCTCCGCTGCCTACGCGTGCTCTTCATTCTCGCGCTATTGCCAATTAAATGCGGAGAGCCCGCATGAAGTTGCAGTTAGAGTCGAATCATAATTTGAAAGAAAGACAGTGAAAGCGAACAGCGCTGGTAGTATCGCGCAGCGCCCATGGCATGTGCGAGTATGTATCCCGGATGATCGCTGCCGATAAAAAGTAGGTAGATAAGCGGATACTTACTTTTAATGGTCCTTTTTAGGTTACGCAACGTGGCTTACCGAAGGTACACATCGCGACGATACTATAAGACATCGTTCACATGTATAAAGCCATACAAACCTACGGTATATGTACGATCGACCGCATGTGTTCGTCCACTTACATCGCACTCATTGTCAGTGTATGTGTAGGTAAAAGCAAGAAAATTTCCAGATGAAATTCGAAACAAAAATACAGAAACTAAGCTTCAGTTGTAGGAAATAAGACGACGTTTCGCCGAATTCCTAAGTACACGTATACAATTGTATGATTTTATAACGATTTAAAATAAAATCGGGTAGTAGAGCTGGTTTCATTATGTAATTAACTTTATATTTATCAAATGAGATATATTAAATTTTGTTGTTCCTTTGTTTTGTTTATATTTGAATAAAAAAATCTATTATGTCTTATGCGATAAATATAAAGTTAATTACGACTGACAACAAACCAAAGACGCAGAAAATGGTTTTATTATTATTTATATGTCCGTAAATTATAATTTATCGTATGGTTCTATGTAAATATGTAATATTTTGTATGTAGCATTTTCACGGCGTAGAGTGGTGAAGCTAGCAATATTATATGGCAATATTATATGACTACTTTCTACTACTCTGTAATTTATGTTTACTACCTACTGTATGTAGATGGTTAGATAGCTGACAGAAAAACACAGAGACAAAAGGGGAATTTAATTGTAGGTCTCGCTGCTAATATCTCGCTGCTGTCGTTAATATTTCAGTGAATAACGAAGATATGTATATGTCCAGTAACCAAATAGATCCACATTTCCTTGCTAACAATCAGCTATCTTTTCATCTCTGCACAGTACATTGCTCCCTGCTTATTTAATTTTACGCATTCTTCTCTGTTCTTACTCACTTTCGCGTATTCAGTTTGCTCGATCTCGGATGGTACTCGCCCTTTCAATCCCTCTCTCTTTCTTTCTCAATTTCTCTCTTTTTTCTCTCTTCCTCTCTCTCTCTCTCTCTCTCTCTCTCTCTCTCTCTCTGACTTTATCTCTTC